CTTCTTTGATAAGGTGTCTGTTAAGCTCTTTGGCCCATTTTTTAATCAGGTTGATTGTTTTCTTATTGTTGAGTTTTAAGAGTTCTTTGTATATTTTGGGATACCATTCCTTTATCAGATGTGTCTTTTGCAAATATTTTTTCCCAATCTGTGGCTTGTCCTCTCATTCTCCTGATCTTGTCTCTCACAGAACAGAAACTTTTATTTTTAATGAAGTACAGATTATCAGTTATTTCTTTCATGGATTGTCTTTAGTGTTGTACCTAAAAAGGCATCACCATCTAGGTTTTTTCTTACATTATCTTCTAGGGTTTTATCTTTAGATCTATGTCCATTTTGAGTTAATTTTTGTGAAAAGTGTAAGTTATGCGTCTGGATTTATTTTTTTGCCTGTGGATGTCCAGTTGTTCCAGCTCCATTTGTTGAAGAGTCTCTCTTTGCTCCATTGCATTGCCTTTGCACCTTTGTCAAAAGTCAGTTGACTATATTTATGCAGGTCTATTTCTGGGCTCTCTATTCTGTTCATCAATACAGCACTGTTTTTTTAAAAAATTTTTAATTTATTTTATTTATTTATTTTTGGCTGTGTTGGGTCTTCGTTGTTGTGCACGGGCTTTCTCTAGTTGCAGCAAGCAGGGCCTACTCTTCCTTGCGGTGCACACGCTTCTCATTGCGATGGCTTCTCTTGTGGAGTACGGGCTCTAGGTGCACGGGCTTCAGTAGTTGTGGCGCATGGGCTCAGTAGTTGTGCCTCATGGGCTCTAGAGCACAGGCTCAGTAGTTGTTGCACACGGATTTAGTTGCTCCACGGCATGTAGGATCTTCCCAGACCAGGGCTCGAACCCGAGTCCTCTGCATTGGCAGGTGGATTCTTAACCACTGCACCACCAGGGAACCCCAATACAGCACTGTTTTGATTACTGTAGCTTTATAGTAACTCTTAAAGTTGGGGACTGTCAGAGTCCTACAACTTTGTTCTTCTCCTTCAATATGTGTTGGCTATTGTGGGTCTTTTGCCTCTCCATATAAAGTTTAGGATTGGTTTGTCAATATCCATGAAATAATTTTCTGGATTTTTGATTGGAATTGTATTGAATCTATAGATCAAGTTCGGAAGATCTGACATCTTGACAATACTGTGTCTTCCTTTCTATGAACACAGGCTATCTTTCCATTTTATTAGTCCCTACTTGATTCCATTCATCAGCATTTTGTAGTTTTCCTCATATAAATCATGCACATATTTTGTTAGATTTACACTTATGTATTTCATTCCTGGGGTGCTAATATAAAAGATATTGTGCTTTTAATTTTAAGTTCTACTTGTTTATTATTGGTATATAGGAAATCAACTGACTTTTGTATATTAACCTTGTATCCTGCAATCTTGCTATAATTACTTATTAGTTCCAGTTTGTCAGTTCTTTCAAATTTTCTCCATAGACAATTATTTCATCTGTGAACAAAGACAGTTTTGTCTTCCTTCCCCATCTGTTTACCTTTTATTTCCTTTTTTTTTTTTTTTTTTTTGCCTTATTACATTATCAAGGACTTCCAGTACAATGTTAAAAAGGAGTGGTGAGAGGAGACATCCTTGCCTTGTACCTGATCTTAGTGGGAAAGCTTTGAGTTTCTCACCATTAAGTATGATGTTAGATGTAGGGTTTTAGTAGATAGTCTTTATCAAACTGAGAAAGTTCCCCTCTGCCCCTAGTGTGATGGGAATTTTTATCATAAATAGATGTTAGGTTTTGTAAGGTGCTTTTTATGCATCTATTGGTATGATCATGTAATTTTTCATGTTTTAGTCTGTTGATGTGATGGACTACATGAATTGATGATCAAATGTTGAACCAGCCTGGTATACCTGGGATAAATCTCTTGGCTGTGATGTGTAATTCTTTTTATACTTCTTTGGATTCATTTTGCTAATATTTTATTGAGAATTTTTACATCTATGTTCATGAGAGATATTTATCTTAGGGACTTTTTTTTTCCTTGTAATATCTTTGGTTTTGGTAATAGTGTAATGCTGGCCTCATAGAATGAGTCTGAAAGTATTCCTTCTGCTTTTAGCCTCTGAAAGGGATTATAGGGTATTTGTATAATTTCTTTCTTAAATGTTAGGGGGAATTCACCAGTGAACCCATCTGGACCTGATGTTTTCTATTTTGAAAGGTAATTAATTATGGATTCAATTTCTTTAATAGAAATAGACCTATTCAGACTGTCTGTTTCTCCCTATGTGCATTTTAGCAGAGTTTTTCAAGGAATTCGATCAGTTTTATCGAGGTTATCAAATTTGTGGGCATAGAGTTGTTGATAGTATTCCTTTATTATTTTTTTTTAATTTCCATGGGATCTGTAGTGACATCTCCTCTTTCATTTCTGATATTAGTTATTTGTTTCCTTTTTCTTTTTTTCTTAGTCAGTCTGGTTAGAGGCTTATAAATTTTATTGTTCTTTTCAAAGAACCAGTTTCAGTTTTGTTGATTTTCAATATTGATCTCCTATTTTCAATTTCACTGATTTCTGCTCTAATTATTATTTCTTTTTTTCTGGTTACTTTGGACTTAATTTGCTCTTGTTTTTCTAGTTTCCCAAGGTGGAGACTCAGATTACTGAATTTACATCTTTCTTCTTTTGTAAAATATGCATTCAGTGCTATAAATTTCCCTCTAAGCACCACTTTCACTGCATCCTACAAATTTTGATATGTTGTGTTTTCATTTTCATTTAATTCAAAATACTTTTAATTTTTTTTGAGATTTCATCTTTGTCCCATGGGTTATTTTAAAGTGTGTTTTCTAAACTCTACATATTTGGGGATTTTCTAGTTATCTTTCTGTTATTGATTTCTAGTTTAATTCCATTATAGTTTGAAAGCAGCCATTGTATGACTTCTATTCTTTTAAATTCCTTAATGTGTGTTTTGTGGCCCACAATGTGGTTTACCTTGGTGAATGTTCCCTGTGAGCTTGATAAAAATGTATATTGTGTTGTTGTTGGAGAAGTAATCTATAGACGTCAATTATATCCAGCTGATTGATGGTGTTGTTGAGTTCATCCTTACTGATTTTTTGCCTGCTGGACCTGTCCATTTCATAGAGAGGGGTTATGAAGTCTCCAACTATGATAGTGGGTTTATTTATTTCTCCTTGCAGTTCTACCAGTTTTTGCCTCATGTAATTTGATGTTTTGATGTTAGGTGCTTTTATGAGCTTTTCATATGCAGATTTGTGACAACACAAAAAAAACTGATTGACATTTGACAAAAATCAAATGAAAGCATTAATTATTGATTATTTACTACTTATTGAAACCTAATGTCAGCCAGGCACTGATAGAATAGTGAAGAAGACAGGCAAGTGTTCTGCTCTAATAGACCTTACATTCTAGCTGGGAGATAAAGAGGAAAGGGAAAGGAAAAAACAACTCAGCAACATGCACTTGAAAGTAATTTAAGATGGTAAGCTTATGGGGAATAACAATTTCATCTACAAGTTCATCTCAGCAGAAAACTCAATGGCTCTTTTTAACCAGCGTTGAACTCCACTTTTCCTAGCCACAGGCTGCATTTACTAAATGGATCTGCCTGAGGCCTTTTAACATGTTTTCCTGTGATAAGTTAGCCTGGAATGCCCATAAATTATTTTACCATGAGTAACTGGATGATTCCGCTGAATTAGGGCCATTCAATTTTTCTGATGTTTATAATTCTGTCACTATATAATCACATAATATTAAAACGTAGAAAAGAAATGCAGGCATCTGCTTTGATCTAGAGGGTTTATGAAAGTACATTGTAATAATGAAATATTTTAGTGTAGAAAGTGAAAGAATCTAAACTTAAATGCAAAGTTTTAACATTAGAAACTTTTAGTGAGGCTTATAATTACTTTTATAAAATATAAAATTAATTTTATATTGTTATTGATGCTTCTTGTTTTCTTGGTTTTGTTTTCTTTAAAATCATTTCTGCGGTAGGCTGAATAATGACTCCCAAAGGTATCCATATCCTAATCCCCAGAACCTGTGAATGTTACTTTACATGGTAAAAAAGGACTTTGCAGATGTTATCATGTTAAGAATTTTGAGATAGGGAGGTTAGCCTGGATTATCTGGATGTGCACTAAATGATGTAATCACAAGGTTTATTATAAAAGGGAAGCAAGAAGGTCAAAGGAGACAACAGGAGATGGGACAACGCAAGCAAGTATTTGAAGTGATGCAAAGAAGGGGCCCAGAGCCAAGGAATGCAGAAGACCTCTAGAAGTTGGGAAAGACAAAGAAACAGATCTTTCCCAAAGACTTTCATTGACTAGAACAAAAATTAATTTATCAAATGGAAATTAAAAATTTTAAAAGAACTTTATAAACAAACTGAAAATAATGTATTGAATTGTAAATCAAGGTGGTATATTGAACATAATTAGTTCAAATGTATTTTGAACACAGTGTACTCAGTGAAGGTTTGAAAATATTTTTTTGAATCTTAATGAAAATAACAAATATAAATATACACTATTTTCATTTCGGAGGTGTATGTGCATGTATAATATTCTTTTCTTTTGAGTGCTCATTCAACAGCTATATAAATGGATAAATAAATCCTTTTTTTGAGAAAAAAAAAAAGAGATAAATCAAACCTCACTTGTACCAGGCACTAAAGGCAGCTATAAAAATGTATATATAGGCCACAGACGCTGATATCACAGAAAATGGCAAGGAGGGAGCTCAAAAAATTGGTTCCTGCACTGAAACAAACATAAACTAGCAAAGACTGGCAGAATTAACTTTTTCAGAACTCTGAAAATTAACCCCAAACTTAACAGCAACGAATGTGAATCTCTAGGCTCTGAGCTCACAGGTAGTAAAAGTTGATGCAGAGTTGTAGGTGGCCTGGTTTAGGCAGTGGAGTTACCTAATTTAGTTCGAAGCTGCAAAGATGTGGAGAGAAGTGTGTTTTGTTCTGTTTTGTTTTCTTTTCTTTTCTGCAGGCATTTAGGATAACTAATCTAACCGATCATATTCCAAGACACCGAATATGAAATTTTTGCAGGCATTCCCAGAAAATAGCTGGGTTTGACGTTCTTCTGCTTCCTCCTTTCACGTGATCAAATGCTTCCACCTTCTGTGGATCTCCAAAGGATTGTAAAATTCTATGATTCAGAATTGAGCATGGGAAGCAGGTATGCATCCCATTATTGTTATGCTTCAGTCTATTTTTACCAGATTTCTGGATTGGAACATTAGACTCAAAGTTCAACAACCAATAAAGTGGCTTTTCTTCCCTTGCCATTCTTTCAGGTAGGTCTCTAATCCATTAAGAACCTTTGGAAAAAGTAGAGGATGGTCTTGGGCAGGATTCTCATATATCTGGATTCCTAGACCATATTACCATCTAATAGAGTTTCATCTTTTTCCTATCATCTGGCATATTCAAATCAAAGAAAAAACAAACAAAAGACTATAAAAATTGTACAAGTATTGAAAGTAATTGCTTTTTTACTAATCTCTAATGTAAAATTAAGACTATGGCAGAGAGATTAGAAGAAGTGCTATTTATAAAATGCAATCTAAATTCCTATGTGTATATATTTTTTCTTTTTCAAAGTATTGGTTTGTTTACTTGGGGTAGTCTCTATTGGCAATAAGAGTACAGATTTTAAGATGGTTTATAAATATTTAAGAATCGAATTAGTATACTTTCAGGTTAAGTGTACCAACTCTGGGGGCAACTGCTTGTGTTTAAATCCTGACCCAATTATTTTCTAGCTGTACTGCTTTGATCTAGTTACTTATCCTTGTACCTCTGCTTCCATATATTTGAAATGGAGATAATAAAAATATCTACCATGTAGAGCTGTGAAGAATAAAAATTTTGTGGGTTGCAAGGTGCTAAAAGGAGATGATCAGTGATAATATAAGATTGAAATTATTTAGAAATAATTTTAAGTTCATTATATTTCATATTAAGAATTTTCATAGAAACTGATTCAACACTTTGTACAAACTGATTTATACTCAGTACAGATTATCTGCTTATAGTTCATTAAGGTAGCTTGTTGAGTAAGAGGGCATATGGTATACTTTGTACCCATTTCTCCCCACCAAAGAACTGAGAGATTGACAATATGTTTCACTGTAGATCCATGTGAAGTTAATGCATTTGAAAATGAGACCACAGCATGAGAGAGTGGGGAAGACGTTATGCACATCTAAAACACGATAGGGTTATCTACCCTCTCTCACACACACACACAAAGCACAAACACACACAAAGAAACACACACAAAGGAGATCCTGAGGAACTTTAACTCATTCATATCAAATTTACTATTTTTGTAGGTTGTTTCAAAGTCCAAGATTTAAATTAAAACTTCACTTTCATTACTTAATTTGAGAACCTTAATTAGTACAGGTAATTTTATACATTTTAGTCCAGAACATTTGTAGGAATAATAAATTTAAAAATTGGCTCAGTGTTATAATATCAATGTGAAATATAGTCTAAATATATTCTCTTTCTCTAAGTCTCTGACTCTGTTTCTATTTTGTAAATAAGTTCATTTGCATTATTTCTTTTTTGATTCTGCATATAAGGGATATCATAAAATATTTCTCTTTCACTGTCTGACTTACTTCACTAAGTATGACAATCTCTAGGTCCATCTATGTTGCTGCAAATGGCATTATTTCTTCTTTTTTTTTTTTTTTTTTTTTTTGGCAGTACGCAGGCCTCTCACTGTTTTGGCCTCTCCCATTGCGGAGCAACAGGCTCCGGACGCGCAGGCTCAGCGGCCATGGCTCATGGGCCCAGCTGCTCCGCGGCATGTGGGATCTTCCCAGATGAGCCGCTTATAAATTTTGGAGATTAATCCTTTGTCAGTTGCTTCATTTGCAAATATTTTCTCCTATTCTGAGGATTGTCTTTTGGTCTTGTTTATCGTTCCCTTTGCTGTGCAAAAGCTTTCAAGTTTCATTAGGTCCCATTTGTTTATTTTGAGCTTATTTTTCTGTATAGTGTTAGGGAGTGATCTAATCTCATAATTTTAAATGTACCAGTCCAATTTTCCCAGCACCACTTACTGAAGAGGCTGTCCTTTCTCCACTGTACATTCCTGCCTCCTTTATCAAAGATAAGGTGACCATATGTGTGTGGGTTTATCTCTGGGCTTTCTATCCTGTTCCATTGATCTATCTTTCTGTTTTTGTGCCAGTACCATACTGTCTTGCTTACTGTAGCTTTGTAGTATAGACTAAAGTCAGGGAGCCTGATTCCTCCAGCTCCGTTTTTCATTCTGAAGATTGCTTTGGCTATTCGGGGTCTTTTGTGTTTGCATACAAATTGTGAAATTTTTTGTTCTAGTTCTGTGAAAAATACCAGTGGTAGTTTGATACAGATTGCATTGAATCTGTAGATTGCTTTGGGTAGTAGAGTCATTTTCACAATGTTGATTCTTCCAATCCAAGAACATGGTATATCTCTCCATCTATTAATATCATCTTTAATTTCTTTCGTCAGTGTTATAATTTTCGGCATACAGGACTTTTGTCTCCTTAGGTAGGTTTATTCCTAGATATTTTATTCTTTTTGTTGCAATGGTAAATGGGAGTGTCCTCTTGATTTCACTTTCAGATTTTTCATTAGTGTATAGGAATGCCAGAGATTTCTGTGCATTAATTTTGTATCCTGCTACTTTACGAAATTCATTGATTAGCTGTAGTAGTTTTCTGGTAGCATCTTTAGGATTCACTATGTATAGTATCATGTCATCTGCAAACAGTGACAGCTTTATTTCTTCTTTTCTGATTTGGATTCCTTTTATTTCCTTTTCTTCTCTGATTGATGTGGCTAAAACTTGCAAAACTATGTTGAATAATAGTGGTGAGAGTGGGCAACCTTGTCTTTTTCCTGATCTTAGTGGAAATGCTTTCAGTTTTTCACCATTGAGGACGATGTTGGCTGTGGGTTTGTCATATATAGCCTTTATTATGTTGAGGAAATTCCCTCTATGCCTACTTTCTGCAGGGTTTTTATCATAAATGGGTGTTGAATTTTGTCAAAAGCTTTCTCTGCATCTATTGAGATGATCATATGGTTTTTCTCCTTCAATGTGTTAATGTGGTTTATCACATCGATTGTTTTGCGTATATTGAAGAATCCTTGCATTCCTGGAATAAACCCCACTTGATCATGGTGTATGACCCTTGTGCTGTTGGATTCTGTTTGCTATTATTTTGTTCAGGAAATTTGCATCTATGGTCATCAGTGATATTGGCCTGCAGTTTTCTTTCTTTGTGACATCCTTGTCTGGTTTTGGTATCAGGGTGATGGTGGCCTCATAGAATGAGTTTGGGAGTGTTCCTCCCTCTGCTATATTTTGGAAGAGTTTGAGAAGGATAGGTGTTAGCTCTTCTCTAAATGTTTGATAGAATTCTCCTGTGAAGCCATCTGGTCCTGGGCTTTGGTTTGTTGGAAGATTTTTAATCACAGTTTCAATTTCAGTGCTTGTGATTGGTCTGTTCATATTTTCTATTTCTTCCTGATTCAGTCTTGGCAGGTTGTGCCTTTCTAAGAATTTGTCCACTTCTTCCAGGTTGTCCATTTTATTGGCATAGAGTTGCTTATAGTAATCTCTCATGATCTTTTGTATTTCTTCAGTGTCAGTTGTTACTTCTTTTTCATTTCTAACTCTATTGATTTGAGTCTTCTCCCTTTTTTCTTGATGAGTCTGGCTAATGGTTTATCCATTTTGTTTATCTTCTCAAAGAACAACGTTTTAGTTTTATTTATCTTTGCTATCATTTCCTGCATTTCTTTTTCATTTATTTCTGATCTGATTTTTATGATTTCTTTCCTTCTGCTAACTTTGGGGTTTTTTTGTTCTTCTTTCTCTAATTGCTTTAGGTGCAAGGTTAGGTTGTTTATTCGAGATGTTTCCTGTTTTTTAAGGTAGGATTGTATTGCTAAAAACTTCCCTCTTAGAACCGCTTTTGCTGCATCCCATAGATTTTGGGTCGTCATGTCTCCATTGTCATTTGTTTCTAGGTATTTTTTTATTTCCTCTTTGATTTCTTCAGTGATCACTTCATTATTAAGTAGTGTATTGTGTAGCCTCCATGTGTTTGTAGTTTTTACAGATTTTTCCTGAATTGATATCTAGTCTCATAGCGTTGTGGTTGGAAAGATGCTTGAAACAATTTCAATTTTCTTAAGTTTACCAAGGCTTGACTTGTGACCCAAGATATGATCTATCCTGGAGAATGTTCCATGAGCACTTGAGAAAAATATTTATTCTGTTGTTTTTGGATGGAATGTCCTATAAATATCAATTAAGTCCATCTTGTTTAATGTATCATTTAAAGCTTGTGTTTCCTTATTTATTTTCATTTTGAATGATCTGTCCATTGGTGAAAGTGGGGTGTTAAAGTCCCCTACTATGAATGTGTTGCTGTCAATTTCCCCTCTTATGGCTGTTACTACTTGCCTTATATATTGAGGTGCTCCTATGTTGGGTGCATAAATATTTACAATTGTTACATTTTCTTCTTGGATCGATCCCTTGATCATTATGTAGTGTCCTTCTTTGTCTCTTCTAATAGTCTTTATTTTAAAGTCTATTTTGTCTGATATGAGAATTGCTACTTCAGCTTTCTTTTGGTTTCCATTTGCATGAAGTATCTTTTTCCATCCCCTTACTTTCAGTCTGTATGTGTCTCTAGGTCTGAAGTGGGTCTCTTGTAGACAGCAAATATATGGGTCTTGTCTTTGTATCCATTCAGCCAATCTGTGTCTTTTGGTGGGAGCATTTAATCCATTTATATTTAAGGTAATTATTGATATGTATGTTCCTATTTCCAGTTTCTTAATTGTTTTGGGTTCGTTATTGTAGGTCTTTTCCTTCTCCTGTGTTTCTTGCCTAGAGAAGTTCCTTTAGCAGTTGTTGTAAAACTGGTTTGGTGGTGCTGAACTCTCTCAGCTTTTGCTTGTCTGTAAAGGTTTTAATTTTCCATCAAATCTGAATGAGATCCTTGCTGGGTAGAGTAATCTTGTTGCAGGTTTTTCTCCTTCATCACTTAAATATGTCCTGCCAGTCCCTTCTGGCTTGCAGAGTTTCTGCTGAAAGTCAGCTGTTAACCTTATGGGGATTCCCTTGTGTGTTATTTGTTGTTTTTCCCTTGCTGCTTTTAATATGTTTTCTTTGTATTTAATTTTTTACAGTTTGATTAATATGTGTCTTGGTGTATTTCTCCTTTGATTTATCCTGTATGGGACTCTCTGTGCTTCCTGGACTTAACTATTTCCTTTCCCATATTAGGGAAGTTTTCAACTATAATCTCTTCAAATATTTTCTAAGTCCCTTTCTTTTTCTCTTCTTCTTCTGGAACCCCTATAATTCGAATGTTGGTGTGTTTAATGTTGTCCCAGAAGTCTCTGAGACTGTCCTCTGTTCTTTTCATTCTTTTTTCTTTATTCTGCTCTGCAGTAGTTATTTCCACTATTTTATCTTCCAGGTCACTTATCCGTTCTTCTGCCTCAGTTATTCTGCTATTGATCCCATCTAGAGTATTTTTAATTTCATTTATTGTGTTGTTCATCATTGTTTCTTTCATCTTTAGTTCTTCTAGGTCCTTGTTAAATGTTTCTTGCATTTTGTCCATTCTATTTCCAAGATTTTGGATCATCTTTACTATCATCATTCTGAATTCTTCTTCAGGTAGACTGCCTATTTCCTCTTCATTTGTTTGGTCTGGTGGGTTTTTATCTTGCTCCTTCATCTGCTGTGTGTTTTCTGTCTTCTCATTTTGCTTCTCTTACTGTGTTTGGGGTCTCCTTTTTGCAGGCTGCAGGTTCGTAGTTCCCGTTGTTTCTGGTGTCTGTCCCCAGTGGGTAAGCTTGGTTCAGTGGGTTGTGTAGGCTTCCTGGTGGAGGGGACTAGCACCTGTGTTCTGGTGGATGAGGTTGGATCTTGTCTTTCAGGTGGGCAGGTCCACGTCTGCTGGTGTGTTTCGGGGTGTCTGTGGACTTACTATGATTTTAGGCAGCCTCTCTGCTAATGGGTGCGGTTGTGTTCCTGTCTTGCTAGTTGTTTGGCATAAGATGTCCAGCACTGTGGCTTGCTGGTCGTTGAGTGAAGCTGGGTGCTGGTGTTGAGATGGAGCTATCCAGGAGATTTTCGCCATTTGATATTATGTGGAGCTGGGAGGTCTTTTGTGGACCAGTGTCCTGAAGTTTGCTCTCCCACCTCAGAGGCACAGCACTGACTCCTGACTGCAGCAGCAAGAGCCTTTCATCCATACGGCTCAGAATAAAAGGGAGGAAAAAATAGAAAGAAAGAATTAGTAGAAGTAGAAAGAAAGAAAGGAGGGTGGGAGGGAGGGAGGAAAGAAGGAAGGAAGGAGGGAAAGAAGGAAAAAAAGAAAGAAAGAAGTTAAAGTAAGATGAAGTAAAGTAAGATAAAATATAATAAATTTATTAAAATAAAAAAATAATTATTAAAAAAAAAAGGACGGATAGAACCCTAGGACAAATGGTGGAAGCAAAGCTATACAGACATAATCTCACACAGAAGCATACACATACACACTCACAAAAAGAGGAAAAGGGGAAAAAGCATAAACCTTGATCTCAAAGTCCACCTCCTTAATTTGGAATGATTCGTTGTCTATTCATGTATTCCACAGATGCAGGGTACATCAAGTTGATTGTGGAGCTTTAATTCGCTGCTTCTGAGGCTGCTGGGAGAGATTTCCCTTTCTCTTTTTTCTCACAGCTCCCAAGGGCTCAGCTTTGGATTTGGCCGTGCCTCTGCGTGTAGGCCGCCAGAGGGCGTCTGTGCTTCGCTCAGACAGGACGAGGTTAAAGGAGCCGCTGATTCAGGGGCTCTGGCTCACTCAGGCTGGGGGGAGGTAGGGGCACGGAGTGCGGGGTGAGCCTGCGGCGGCAGAGGCCAGCGTGACGTTGCACCAGCCTGAGGCACGCCATGCGTTCTACCGGGGGAGTTGTCCCTGGATCCCGGGACCCTGGCAGTGGCGGGCTGCACAGGCTTCCCGAAGGGGGCTGTGCATAGTAACCTGTGCTCACACACAGGCTTCTTGGTGGCGGCAGCAGCAGCCTCAGCGTCTCATGCCCGTCTCTGGGATCCGCGGTTTTAGCCGCGGCTCGCGCCCGTCTCTGGAGCTTCTTTAAGCAGCGTTCTTAATCCCCTCTCCTCGCGCACCAGGAAACAAGGAGGGAAGAAAAAGTCTCTTGCCTCTTCGGCAGGTCCAGACTTTTCCCCGGACTCCCTCCCGGCTAGCTGTGGCGCACTAACCCCCTGCAGGCTGTGTTCACGCTGCCAACCCCAGTCCTCTCCCTGCGCTCAGACTGAAGCCCGAGCCTCAACTCCCAGACCCGCCCGCCCCGTGGGCGAGCAGACAAACCTCTCGAGCTGGTGAGTGCTGGTCGGCCCTGATCCTTTGTGCGGGAATCTCTCCGCTTTGTTCTCTGCACCCCTGTTGCTGTGCTCTCTTCCGCGTCCCCGAAGCTCCCCCACTCCGCCACCCGCGGTCTCCTCCCACGAAGGGGCTTGCTAGTGTGTGGAAACTTTTCCTCCTTCACAGCTCCCTCCCACTGGTGCGGGTCCCGTCCCTATTCTTTGTCTCTGTTTTTTCTTTTTTCTTTTGCCCTACCCAGGTACGTGGGGGGTTTCTTGCCTTTTGGGAGGTTTGAGGTCTTCTGCCAGCGTTCAGTAGGTGTTCTGTAGGAGTTGTTCCACGTGTAGATGTATTTCTGGTGTATCTGTGGGGAGGAAGGTGATCTCCGTTTTACTCTTCCGCCATCTTCCCGGAAGCCCCCCGCTTCTGAATAACTAGGCTTTAAAATGCTTAGGCCCTGGATTCTACGTCACTCAGTTTCTGACTAAAACTGAAGTGGATTTAGCCCCTACCTGGCTTCTGAATAACTAGGCGTTAAAATGCTTAGGCCCAGGATTCTACCTCAGCAAGTTTCTGCCTAAAACTGAATGGATTTAGGCCCTAACCGGCTTTAGAATAACTAGGCTTTAAATCGCTCATTGTTTTATTGCTGAGTAGTAGTAGATGTAATAGATGTAATAAATTTTATATGTAGTAAATTTATCTGCTCACCAGTTGATGGGCATTTGGGTCATTTTCAGCTTCAGGCTATGATGTATAAACAATTTTTGGTAAAAGTGTTTACATGGGCATGTTTTCATTTCTTTGGGGTAAATACTTAGGAGTAGAATTGTTGGGTCATATGGTAGTTATAAATTTAACTTCATAACAAAATGTTATTGTGATCACATTGATGGATCTAGGCAGTTTTGTGCTAAGTGAAATAAGTCAGACGGATGGAGAAAGACAAATACTATATGATCTCACTTATATGTGAAGTCTAAAAAGCAAAACAAACAAAACACAGTGAAAACAGATTCATAGATACAGAGAACAAATGGGTGGTTGCCAGAGGGGAAGGGGGTTGGGGGTGAAACAGGTGAAAGAGATTAAAAAATGTACCAATTTTGCAAAATATACTCTAAATGCTGCAAAAAGAAGGCTATCATAAGGAAATAGTAAATATATGATAAAATAAGGCAAGAAACAATATATTAGTTGACATAGTTGTTGCACATTGGGAAAAAAAAATCTATTTTCATTTTAAACTTATTTATTTTATTTTTTAGGTATGTTGGCTCATCTACCCTAGTAGATCATGGCCCATGACTTTCCATGGGTGCAAGGCATTCTCCATAAGAGTATTTCCAACAATATGTATTCCCAGTGTTTCAAAATCTCTTTAAAATTTTTGCCAAACTCAGAATGCAAATGTGTGCATTGTGTTAGAACCTTCTACCCAGATGGATGACTGGCCAATTCCCAGGTGAGTAAGAAAATGACTAAATTCTTAAAAAAAGGAACAATTTCTTTTATCTAAGAATTAGAAAACATAGCATGATTACTCATAAAAAAATGTTACGTAACAGTAAGGCTAAATGTAATATTTCAGTATTCATCTTGAAAATAGCCATGTTTACACTGGCTTGTCCTTATACTGAATATCCTAGACATGCAGTCTTAATATCTGTTTTCTATGGAGAAACCAGAATGAAAATTATTTTTCAATTCTCAGGTGTCAATTGTAAATTGTTACATGACAATATACAATTTCCAGAACTCATCACACTGTACACTTGAAGTTGTTGAATCTCATTGTATATAAACTATACTTCAACAAAGTTGGGAGGAAAAGTGGTAAGAAGTTATACAGTGTTGCTATAAGATTAAAAGGGAGATTAATGCAAAGCTTTTAGCACAGGACCTCAGAAGTTGTAGATGTTTGATACATGTAGTCATTATTTTTACTTAATTTACTTATCCTTTATTTTACTTGATTGTTAAGCCCTTTACCTCATGGATTGTGCACTGTAAAGGTTAATTTCAGTAGACCTGGAATTGGCCTGAACTGTTTTGTTAAAATACTGCCACAACATTTACCTGTAGTCAAGGTATGAAACACACTTTTATAGTGTTGGTTTGTAATTATGGATCTGAAATTTTGGAGTGGTTTGTGTTAGGTTGTAGGTATTATTTATTGATAATTTACTGTGGTAACCAGTCAATATTTTATAGATTTATTTATACTAAGTCTCCTTTGAATTTTAAGATAAGTACTATGTGGCTGTGTTGTATTATACCTCAATATAAGGTTTAGCTTTGATTTCTTTAGGTTCTTTCAGAATGATCATGATAGGGGCCAAAAGGCCTATATAATAATTTGCACACTGAGGGCTGATGCTTAAGTTATTCTTCCAGATTCACATCATTCAGTCTTTTATGAGATTGCAAGGACAGAGTTATCTTATAGCTGGACTGGGGCAACTTCATGCTTATCTCTGGGGAAGTCTGATATTTATCATTTGGCCAAGAAAAGAATGAGCTGTACTAGCTAATGATTTATAATGTGCTGTTTAAAATTCAAAACTCTCCTGGGAGCACATGGTACTAACTTGTCTCCATTGTTTACAGAAGTAGACATTGATAGTCTATTCCTGGTTTAACAGATACTGAGCCCAGCCTTAGCCAAGTGACAAATGAGGTATAAAAGACCCCTCAGTAGAAGAGGGAACCTCATGCACTGTTGGTTGGAACGTAAATTGGTGCAGCCACTGTGGAAAACAGTATGGAGATTCCTCAAAAAATTTAAAATAGAACTACCATAAGATCCAGCAGTTCTACTTCTTTGTATTTTCCCAAAGAAAACAAAAACATCAGTTTGAAAAGATATATGTACCCCTATGTTCATAGCAGCATTATTTACAATAGCCAAGATTATAGACACACTATGGGTCCATCAACAGATAAATAGAGAAAGGAGATGTGGTACACACACACACACACACACACACACACACACAATGGAACATTACTCAGCCATAAAAATGAATGAAATTTTGCCATTTGTGATGACACAGATGGATCTGGAAGGTGTTATACTTACTGAAATAAATCGGACATAGAAAGATAAATACTGTATATTCTCACTTATATGTGGAATCTCAAAAATAAAACAAATGAACAAATATTACAAAACAGAAATAAACTCACAGACACAGAGAACAAACAAGTTGTTATCAGAGGGGAGAGAGGCAGTGGAGGGGCAAAAACTAGGTAAAGGGGATTAAGAGGCAGAAACTACTAGTGTAAAATAACTAAGTCACAAGGATATAATGTACAGCACATGTAATATAGTCAATATTTTATAATAACTTTGTATGGAATATATTCTATAAACATGGAATTACTATGCTGTACGTGTGAAACTAGCATAATGTTGTAAGTCAACTATACTTCAATTAAAAAACAATTTTAAAAAAGACCCCTTAGTAAACTCCTGTATGGGCTCCTCTGGAACTGAGAAATACTGCATATACTTTGGTGGTTCCTAATCCAAAACCAAAGTATGACCTGTGTGATGGATAAAGGACTTTGGAAAACTGTGTTTGGAAATCTTTGGACTTCTCTACTATTGCTTGTGCTTTTTTTTTCCCTACTGCTCCATATCCATTACCTTTACTAAAGCCTTCCATGAGTATACCCTGTGCAATCTTGCCTTTTCAATTATTTGACTCTGTCATATTATTGCAATAAGTATTCCCATGCAGAATTTGTTTTCACTTCCTGAATTTTCATGACTCAATTTCTCGTTTTATTTTTATTTTTATCCTCAATAGTATTTACTAATCCAATTTCCCACTATTAACATTAGCATTCACTCAGAGCCTTATAATATTGCCCTATTCAAGTGTTCTAGATACAGAGAGAGAGTGTAGCATGGTCTTGGTTAAGCCCTTGACTATTATTTTTAAACTGATAAAAAATAGCAGTTAATAAAAAGATGTTATGCTGAATTTGAAGCCACTTCAATGCTCATTGCCTTAAAATTGCAAATATATGGCAGGATGTAAAATAAGAACTCATACTACCTTCCTGTAGAAATACAGACAATAACAAGCCAATTAGCTTTAATTACAGTTTAGTTTGCAAACGTGGGGAAAAAAATCAGGGAATGTAATTGAATGAATAATCCTTATAGCTAAATCGAAGAAGCTAAAATTGTCCGTAACAGTTATCTTTATGTTAGGGACATGCTTGCCACATTAAACTCCTATTCTGGAGTTGGAGCCCTTTCCACTATCCAGTGAAGGCTAGAAAATACCATCAACATTTGTTTCTTAGATTCCTTTCACAATCTTTTGGATTTTTTTCCGTGGCATTCAAACACCTCATTTTAATGTCAAATTCTTTATTTATGCATAATAATGACTTGAAACAGCTTGCATTCAAGTCATACAACCAAGATTCTTTACATTTCTTTTAAAGTCTTATGTAACATTGTTTTGACCCATTAAGTACTGATTTTATAGTTTTATACTCAGAAAGGAATACTTCCATTTTAAATTTCCAATTTCTTGAAGCAGACAGTAACAATATAAGGGTATTTCTCTATTTGTGGAAGGACTCAATGGGCTTTTAAAATGTATCTAGAGGGCTTCCCTGGTGACGCAGTGGTTGAGAGTCCGCCTGCCGATGCAGGGGACACAGGTTCGTGCCCTGGTCCAGGAAGATCCCACATGCCACGGAGCGGCTGGGCCCATGAGCCATGGCCACTGAGCCTGCGCGTCCAGAGCCTGTGCTCCGTAAAGGGAGAGGCCACAATAGTGAGAGGCCCGCGTACCGCAAAAAAAAAAAAAAAAAGTGTCTAGATGCCTGGGTTATATGATACATTTTCCTAAGAAGCCACTAGAAAATGCTAGTAATACCAAGGGAGAAAACCAGAAAGGAGCTTTTTGCATAATTGGTCCACTGATAAAAATAAATGTGAAAAAAAGAAAAAAATATATTTATATCTGAGAGAGTATAGCTATTGCATTGACCAACCTTTCTTTTAACAAGTTATAATGTATTTTAAATTATCTTTTGAACTATCTTCACAAATATCTGTTTTCAACACCTTTTACATTAAAAATTGGGGATTTTTAGAACTGTCTCAACTGCTTCCAATTAACTCCTCAAGCTGAAGTTAATATATCACTTAGCATGTTGGCTATTCACAAGCTAAGGTGATTAGACCCTATAAAATGCTGTTACTTAACAATTGTAGACAAATGGCTTTGTTGAAAAAGCTTTTCTTTAAATCTCTGGGTGCCCAGAGAACACTTTAACAAATGTAAAATATATTGCAGTCTAACACCTTTCTATAATTTTACTCCCTTTTTTTCCGCTCTGGAAACTTGAGTTACAGACTTGGGGGGATATAGATAGGTGAAAAACTGAACATATACTCCAGAATCACTAAAGGGAGTCTTGAATTTTCCTTTATAAAAGGCAGTTCTATAGAAACATGGATATTAAAAATATAGTCATGTCTGGAATGATTTCATGTGAAAAATTTATACTGTGTGGTGTATTTGAGTTACTGTCAGTTGAACATTTTTAAAGTTAATATGTAAAATCGTGAGACTTCCCTGGTGGTGCAGTGGTTAAGAATCTGCCTGTCAGTGCAGGGGTCACGGGTTCAAGCCCTGATCCGGGAAGACCGCACATGCCGCAGAACAGCTAAGCCCACGCACCACAACTACTGAGCTTGCGCTCTAGAGCCCGCGAGCCACAGCTACTGAAGCCTGCGTGCCTAAAGCCCATACTCCACAAGAAGAGAAGCCACTGCAGTGAGAAGCCCATGCACTGCAAGGAAGAGTAGCCCCCACTCGCCACAACTAAAGAAAGCCCATGCACAGCAACGAAGACCCAATGTGACCAAAAATAAATAAATTCATAAAAAAATATATATAAAATCATGTAGTAGTCCTCTTGATACATCAAATGCTTTTAGATAGCACACTGATAAAGCATTAAATAACGTTAAATATAAATCACATTTTAAAGAGTTACAAATAATGACCTTTTTAATCTTTCAGTTTTTCTGATAAGTCAAGGACAAATGACCAGACTCAAAAGCAACTTTATAAAACTTGATATTTTCCTTTCAAAAAGATGAAAACTATGATATTGGGTCAGATCCAGTTGAATAACATTTCTTGTTACACTTTTTTTTATAGCCAGAAATATTAGTTTTGTATTTACAGCAAGATTACAAAGTTTCTTTTAAGATAAATATACTTAAGTAAAAACATGAATCAATATAAATCAGATATTAAATAAATCATACTATACTTGTTATATATAATGTGTATATGAAGAAGGCAATATATGTGTGTGACAGAAATTAAGAAAACCCGGACGTAACCTGACTTCTATAATACTGATAGGTTTGTGCCAAGTCCAATCAATATTATTGTAACAGGGAAGAGCCAATCCTGACTCCATGTTTGATCTGTTTCTTATACTTTAACCTTTGCTTCCCATTGCTTTGTTCACTAAAAGGATACTGTCTATACATAATGGCCTGCCTCGGGGAACTCTGCCTCTCTGCCTGAAGAAATTAACACATCCACATTCCCTCTCTTCTGGGCCATTCCAGGAGATATTTGCTAGACTTAGGGCCTTTTTACTTTACTTCCCCACCTCCTCCCACTCTCTGTTCTCTAAAAGAAACTGGCATCCAAACTCCCATAAGATAGTTTTTTGGACACATTAGTCTGCCATCTTCTCTGTCTGCTGGAGTTCCGAATAAAGCCGTACTCCTTGCTTCAAAACCTCGTCTCCCGATTTATTGGCCTGTTGTGCAGCAAGCAGAGCGAGCTTGGACTCGGTAACATTATAAAATAAAATAAAGTACTGAGAGAACTTTACTGAACAACTGAAGCTGTTATGCTAGCCACAACAGAGTTTGCAATCAATTGGGAAATATCAATATGTAAACACAAAGATCTAGATAAAATTAATAATAGATGATTTTTATTTTATTTTTTATTGGAGTATTGCTTTACAACACTGCTTTACAATGTTGTGTTAGTTTCTGCTATATAATGAAGTGAATCAGCTGTGTGTATACCTATATTCCCTCCCTCTTGGACCTCCCTCCCACCCCCCACCCCCCCATCCCATGCATCTAGGTCATCACAGCACCAAGCTGAGCCTCCTGTGCTTTATAGCATGTTCCCACTAGCTGTCTATTTTATGCATAGTAGTGTATATATGTCAATCCTAATCTCCCAATTCATCCCAGCTTTCCCTCCCCCATCCACATCCGCATGTCCGTTCTCTATGTCTGCTTCTCTATGCCTGCCCTGCAAGTAGGTTCATCTGTACCATTTTTCTAGATTCCACATATATGCATTAATACACGCTATTTGTTTTTCTCTTTCTGGCTTACTTCACTCTGTATGACAGACTCTAGGTCCATCCACATCTCTACAAATGACCCAATTTTGTTCCTTTTTATGGCTGAGTAATATTTCATTGTATACATGTACCACATCTTCTTTATCCATTCATCTGTCGTTGGACATTTAGGTTGTTTCTATGTCCTGGCTATTGTAAATAGTGCTGCAATTAACATTGGGGTACGTGTGTCCTTTCGTAGATAAAAGTGATTAAATCACGTTTCATCATGCTATGTCTTAAACTGGTCCTTTAACAATTAGAAGGATTTGGGTTGTTAGTGAAGGAATTGGAGAGAATAATTAGTCCAGAGAAAACATAAGACTAGACTCAGGGACCTTGAGCAGCATGTTGTGGTTGAGAGTGTGGATAGTTTATAATATGCAACTAAACTGTAAAAATAGTGAGGAAGAACATGATATTTCTATGGATTGGGGACTTCAAACTCAAATCCAGTCATTCTCCACCCTGCCCCCTCATTAGGGAGATTTTAGAAAATACTTTACATGGGCTTTACCTCAGGCCAGATAAACTAGAATTTCTGAGATTGGGCTATGGCTTACTGTTTGTTTTTTGTTTCTTTTTAAGTTCCCATGGTGACTTTAATAAAATGCAACGAGATTGGCAAACCGTTACTTTCAGCAGTGAGCCACCATTACAAGCTTCTGATGAAGAATCTAACATAATTGGAAAGGTACTTTTGATTGCAATGTCTATTTTTCAGATACTTCTCAGAGAGGTAAAAGAAACATTATAGAGTAAGAGGTTGAAGTTTAAGAAATAAATTGTGCAGGGCAGAAATAGAGACACAGATGTAGAAGACAAACATATGGACACCAAGGGGGGAAAGTGGTGGTGGAGTGATGAATTGGGAGATTGGGGCTGACATATATACACTAATATGTATAAAATAGATAACTAATAAGAACCTGCTATATAAAAATATAAATAAAATAAAATTCAAAAAAAAAAAAGAAATTATGATGGTCCAGGTAAGAGATACTTTCTCTTGAGTTAGGATAGTAGGAATAGAAATGTTTGGAAGAAAGTTTAAAAGTGAAGATGTAAGTTTACCAACTCAATATTTAGAGGACATTATGCTTTGTTCTTGCTGTAGAGGTGATGCTTTTGTGTTGCTAGCCAATGCTTCCTGTCATCACTGACATGTTGACACAACTTTTTCTGAGAATGGACTGCTATTGAAATAGATGTGGATATATAATCACATTGACTTTAGTCTATGTATTTGTGGTTTGTTGTTAAGATTGTATGTGGCTTTACATAGAAACAAAGCTTACAAATGTAATCTAGTAATCAAATTTTTCCTTGACCTTATCATCTCATTGATTCAAGCAGTATCATTATTAACACTGGGTAATTTTAGATGAAAAAGGTATATGATCTGATGTTAATTTTCACACAGTCTTACTCTTTTTACGCATTGTAATGTAATATTAAATATTTATGTTTTTCTTTAATCATTTATTTTGGCATGTCTTCGGGCATGAAAACAGAAATGACAGTAATATTCAACCTGAAGGAGGATGATATTAAAAATTAATATTTTTTATTAATTTGTAATCATTGAGAAATTTATACATCTTGGAGATTAATAATACAGTAGCCAGGCAATTTGATCTTATTTGGATCATAGTCTTATAAAAATAGGCACATATATAAAGGCTGTGGATTATTTTAAGGAAAGAAGTATCATGGCAAGTAAGAAATAGTTGTATCATCATTTTATTATGGTTTCATTTACAGTCTTTTATATGGTGAGCTTCTCCTGATATATATGGAAGAAAAAAAGAGACACTTTGAGAAATAAATATTTGCATTCCCAGCTATTAATGCAGCCTCATAAAGAATAATATGAATTCACTTGTTTAATAAAAACAAAAGGGAAAAATGCACCTCGTTTGAAGTAAGCCATCCTACTGATTATTCCACAGCATTTTAGTACCACTAGAGAATATAGATATTTACTAAAGAAGGTTAATCTCCTTATCTAATTCCTTAATTTCAAAGAGACAGTATTTGGAAAGTTAAACTTAGTGGCATACAATTTCAGTACTACATTTGATCATTGTGTCATAGTATAATATGTTGAATAAAATAAACACTAATTTAAAACTATATTTTATAGAGATAGATTTTTAAAAATTATAACTCAATTTTTATTGCTAGTATATTAAGCATATATATACTTTTTAACATTACTGATATATAAAAATAAATGTCATTTAAAAACCTTTTTAAATATTGCATCTTGCTTTTACATAAAATTTGTATATTATTTCTATAAATAGTTTAATAATGATACTTTTTGTGCTTATGACCGACCAAATCTATTATTAGAGTCATTTACAGTCAAAGGCCCTGAAACAAAATTGTGATGTGATCAGGGTCACTTAGCGCTGCTAATGCTCATTACTATGTAACATTGCCCAATTTCCAGTTCCTATTTTCCTGTCTTTTAAAGCTCATGCAACTTGAGTTGCAAAAGCATCTTATAAAAATATTGATTTAAGCTAAATGCCCCATTGAGCAGGAGCTCCAGAGGTACTATGCAGAGAATGACTCAAACATGGATATTTGTGTGGAAAGGATTACTGTTTCAAAATGATAGATGCAACACCAGCCCCCTTCCCCACCCCCACCAGCCGTTCCCTCCCATAACAAATACCCAAAAATCACAGGAGAAGTGTTAATAACACTGGAATACAGTTGAACAGTGACAAGCAGATGAGATGTAATTGAAGAAGCAAAGTTACATCAGCATGGGAATGAAAGAGGACTGCCATAGAAGGTAGAAGCACTACGAAGTATGTTCTGTATCACAAAGTGATTTCAGGGGAAGGAGGGTCTAGAGAAAACCAAAAGATTGAGAGCTTTGGTATTGCAATAGTAGTTTCTAGGCAATTCATTCTCAGATATTCACCACTGCTCCTATATTATTGGAAGTAACAATGGGAATTGATGTCTTCCTATTAAAAGAGAGGTTAGATTGGCAGTAAAGGGCAGTGCTCTCTCAGATCACTAGAGATGCATGGGAGAAACCAAAAACAGTTACAGTTTGTTGGGTTCATAAGACAACTGCTGAGATTGCTTTCTTTAGCAATATATCTCCTCCCATTTTTGTAGGAAAACAGGCTATTAAGAAGGTTAATGTATCATACCTAATTTAACAAAGCACATTTATCATTTCTTCTTCTAGGTTCCTTCTTAATAATGTAAGAATGTTTGAACTCTTTAAATCTGATCTCCTTTTTCTCCATTTTCAAAGTTAGAGATGTCTAAAGTTTTATTTATACCCTGTTTATTTTTTAGTAAACTTACTATTTTAGGAGAGTTTTAGATTTGCAGAAAAGCAGAAACAATTGTATAAACTTCCTACACACAGTTTCCCCTAGTGTTTACATCTTATGTTAGACTGGTACATGTGTCTCCATTATTGAACCAATATCAGTAAATTGTTATTAAATAAAGGACACTCTTTAATTTTTATCTAACGTCTTTTTTTGTTTTAGGGTGCCAGCATGGTCTGGTTCTTTTTATTTGTTTTTTTTTAAACATCCTTATTGGAATAAAATTGCTTTATAATTCTGTCTTAGTTTCTGCTGTATAACAAAGTGAATCAGCTATATGTATACATATATCCCCATATCCCCTCCCTCTTGCGTCTCCCTCCCACCCTACCTATCCCACCCCTCTGGGTAGTCACAAAGCACCAAGCTGATCTCCCTGTGCTATGCATCTGTTTCCCAATAGCTATCTATTTTACATTTGATAGTGTATATGTCCATGCCACTCTCACACTTCATCCCAGCTTACCCTTCCCCCTCCCCGTGTCCTCAAGTGCAATCTCTACGACTGCATCTTTATTCCTGTCCTGCCCCTAGGGTCTTCAGAAACATTTCGGGTTTTTTTTTTTAGATTCCATATATATGTGTTAGCGTACAGTATGTGTTTTTCTCTTTCTGACTTACTTCACTCTGTATGAGAGCCTCTAGGTCCATCCACCTCACTACACATAACTAAATTTTGTTTTTTTTCATGGTTGAGTAATATTCCATTGTATATATGTGCCACATCTTATTTATCCATTCATCTGTCGATGGATACTTAGGTTGCTTCCATGTCCTGGCGATTGTAAATAGTGCTACAATGAACATTGTGGTACATGACTCTTTTTGAACTATGGTTTTCTCACAGTATATACCCAGTAGTGGGATTGCTGGGTCATATGGTAGTTCTATTTTTAGTTTTGTAAGGAACCTCCATACTGTTCTCCGTAGTGGCTATATCAATTTACGTTCCCAACAACAATGCAAGAGGGCTCCCTTTTCTCCACACCTTCTCCAGCATTTATTGTTTTTAGACGTTTTGATGATGGCCATTCTGTCCTGTGTGAAGTGATACCTCATTGTCGTTTTGATTTCAATTTCGCTAATGATTAGTCATGTTGAGCATCCTTTCATGTGTTTGTTGGCAATCTGTATATCTTCTTTGGAGAAATGTCTATTCAGGTCTTCTTCCCATATTTGGATTGGATTGTTTGTTTTCTTGATATTGGGCTGCATGAGCTGTTTGTATATTTTGGAGATTAACCCTTTGTCAGTTGCTTCATTTGCAAATAGTTTCTCCCACTCTGAGAGTTGTCTTCTCATCTTGTTTATGGTTTCCTTTGCTGTGCAAAAGCTTTTATGTTTCATTAGGTCCCCTTTGTTTATTTTTGTTTTTTTTCCCTTTTCTCTAGGAGGTGGGTCAAAAAGGATCTTGCTGTGATTTATGTCATAGAGTGTTCTTCCACTGTTTTCCTCTAAGAGATTTATAGTGTCTGGCCTTACATTTAGGTCTTTAACCTATTTTCACTTTATGTTTGTGTATGGTGTTAGGGAGAATTCTAATTTCATTCTTTTGCATGTAGCTGGCCAGTTTTCCCAGCACCACTTATTGAATAGGCTGTCCTTTCTCCATTGTATATTCTTGCATCTTTTATCAAAGATAAGATGACCATGTGCCTGGGTTTATCTCTGGACTTTGTATCCTGTTCCATTGATCTCTATTTCTGTTTTTGTGCCAGTACCATACTGTCTTCATTACTATAGCTTTGTAGTATAGTCTGAAGTCAGGGAGCCTGATTCCTCCAGCTCTTTTTTTCTTCCCCAAGTTTGCTTTGGCTATTCAGGGTCTTTTGTGTTTCCATACAAGTTGTGAAATTTTTTATTCTAGTTCTGTGAAAAATACCAGTGGTAGTTTGATAGGGATTATGTTGAATCTGTAGATTGCTTTCAGTAGTATATTTGTTTTCACAATGTTGATTCTTCCAATCCAAGAACATGGTATATCTCTCCATCTGTTTGTATCACCTTTAATTTCTTCCATCTGTGTCTTATAGTTTTCTGCATACAGGTCTTTTGTCTCCTTAGGTAGGTTTATTCCTAGGTATTTTATTCTTTTTGTTGCAGTGGTAAATGGGAGTGTTTCCTTAATTTCTCTTTCAGATTTTTCATCATTAGTGTATAGGAATGCAAGAGATTTCTGTGCATTAATTTTGTATCCTTCTGCTTTACCAAATTCATTGATTAGCTCTAGTAGATTTCTGGTAGCATCTTTAGGATTCTCTATGTATAGTACCATGTCATCTGCAAACAGTGACAGTTCTACTACTTCGTTTCCAATTTGTATTCC